CATGAAGAATTTATAAAAGAGGTAATCGTTATTTAGTATGTTTATTAATTATACAGAATATAATTTTTATTTATTATTTATATTAACAATTTAAAATATGTTTCATTCTAATAATAAGTTAAAAGCATACTGTGATATCGGCCTTAAAGATCCAACCTTTTTAAAATGTTTTGGTATATCAAAAGGTAAAGTTTCTAAAGACTATATCCTTGTAATGATGTATGCTTCAGAAGGTTGTTTGCGCGAAAATCTGCAAACTATAGCACTGATGGATTGGAATGATAAATTAAATCTGCTTCAATGTATTGCATCAGACCTTCAGATAATTCATTTTCATGATCTTATTCATCGGGATTTACATAGTGGAAATATACTACTAAATAGCTTTAAAAGTGCATATATTGCGGATTTAGGACTTTCAATAACTGCTAATATTGCATTAAAATCAAATTCTGATGGAGTTTGTGGAATTTTACCATACATTTCTCCCGAAGTTTTGAACAATCAACCATATACTAAAGCATCCGATATTTATTCATTTGGTATAATCATGTGGGAAATTTTATACGGAATTCCAGTATCTTATAATCAAAAACTTGCCATGCCACAACTTTGTTTTTCAGTCTGTTGTCATGATTTAAGACCTGTTGTTAACGAAGAAGCAGCACAATGTTACGTAAACCTTATGAGAAAATGTTGGGATAAATATCCAGAAAAACGTCCATCAGCAAAAGATCTTTGCGAAATTTTTGAGGAATGGCAAAGTAATGCAAGTATTTTGTTAGAATTAAAAGAGTCCAAAACAGTACTTGAGAATATCGAAGAATCATACTATGAGAATATGTTCAAAGGTGGAAGCAAGCTCATCAGCACACAGAAAATTACAGAAAAGTTATCAGAAATGACTTTACTCAGCAAGGAAATAGATATTCTAGATGTTCCTGATCTTTAATTTTTTTTAAAAAAAAATTGTAAATGCAATTATTTATAAATTTATTGTAGCATTATTTCACGCTTTAAATATTATTGAGTATTATTTTATTTCTTTGATTTTTTGTGGTTTAATGCAGGCTTGACGATGAGACAATCATGCGTGTATTTTTTAGATTAAGCATAAAGAATATTTATTTGTTACTTTGCCTTAATGCTAGTAGATATTTCTATATATTAGTAGTATTTTTAATGATAAAGTCTAGGAATAACAAACAGAAATTTCATATCGGTATGTTTTTCTTATTTTTTTAATTAAGCTAGGAAAACGGGATCCGTTGGGTTCTGAAGCGTAACATCGCATTATGCAAAAAAAAAACTTTTAAAGTCACATTGGATCTGCTAATTTGAAGATATTAATTTTTTAGTATAAATATATGGCTTTTACACACTTATCTAAATGTCCAATGAAATTATAAAAATTTTAACTTTTGTAAAATCAGTTGTTAGAGGTGATTAGTGCTGTATGTTAATGTGATGTAATAATATGAATGAAGTTAGCTGAGTCGATTAACATCTCTACTTGAGCTTTTAATATATTATATCCTCCTGATATAAATTCTTAATACATAATAATTTGACTTATTCATTAATAATCATGTTATTGTTGCGGTTCTTTATTTTTTTTTTTATCATTACTAAAGCGACAAAATACATAATACTGAATGCCGTTGAATCATTGCTGATGAAATTTTATTTTTTTAAACATAGAAATATAAAGTTAGTTACGTAATAAATTGTATATCGATATATCGCACCCCGAAAATGTGTACAAGGTTCATATGCAGAAGTTTGTCTGATTGGCTAATAAATTCAATTTAATTTTACATTATTTATACAGTTTAGAGTACTTTTCAAAAAAACGAAAACCAACTATAATAAAATAAAAAAAAAACATATAGAAGGTTTTATTAGAGCTGTAGGACTCCATAGTCAAAAATAAGATCTAATTCTCGTCCGATTAAAAAAATTAACTTATTAATAAGTTGTTCTATGGGTTTTGAGAAGTTATTACTATATTAACTTTTTTTAGACAGACGAGGATTAGATCTTATTTTTGGCTATGGAGTCCTACAGCTTTAATGAAACCTTCTATACAGATTTTTTTTTATTTCAATATGATTAGGTTTCGTTTTATAAAAAAATTACTCTGACTGCATAAATAGTGTAAAATTAAATTGAATTTATTAGCCAGTCAAATAAATTTCTGTCTATGACTGACTGTTATATAGTTGGTTAGCTAGCGTCACCCAGTTCTGATGAATCCGACCCAAAATTCTGGGGTCCTGCAAAAAACATTAAAATCTACGAAACATAGTTTAATGTAAGTTTAGTGCTCTCTACATATTTAGAGATGATTGGCAAATTCTTTCGATTAAGTCTTTGACAATCAGTAATTATCATTTTATCTGCCCAATAAAAAATTTGATGAAAAAAAATGAAAATTACAAAATATTTAGCATTGAGACCTTTAAATTTACATTGGATCTCTAATTTTTGTGGCTAAAAATATTATTTTTATTATTGCTTATCATTGCATCTTTGTTTTTACAGATGCATGTCTCATTTATAAGTTTTTTTTTAAAATATTGAACAATGAATAAGTCACATGGATCAATCAACTCCAAGACTTTGCATATAAGACATTCATTTCTGGTACCTACCTTTTAAAGTATTGTTCAGGATGCTACACAAGATCACAATAAAGAATAACCCACTTATATACTAAGAATCATACATCATCTCATTCTTAAGTAAATTATACCATCTGTATTTCATACTCTGTTCCTGGTACAATTCAAAAATTTACACATTCTCACCAGAATGTAATTAGCAAATTTCATATAATAATCAGTAGAATACATTCAATTTATTAATAATCATTTTGACTGAGTTTTTTTGAATTATTCATATTTGACATAGTGTATACTTGCTTTACAACTAGAAATTTAATATAGCATATACTTGCTTCATACTAAAAATTCAGCATAAGATATATATATATTTGGTTATAACAAAATAATTGATATTGTTGTGCAGTAAATCAGTGAGTTTGTTACTAATTCTTTTCTATTCTCATGTAACTTATAGTAGCTAAGTCAAAATAGGTATGTTAGATTTGGCTGGATGGTTTATCTGTAGATAAGTACTCATCTCTTCTCTTTGTATCTTTTTTTCAACCTATACTTCTATTAACTTTTGCTTTCTCCTATCTTTTCTTTACTTCTTTAACTTGGGATTATAATACATCAAATCGGGCTGAAGTTTTTCTCTTGTGTTAACAACTTGATTACATGATTTATAGTAAATGATTAAAATTCAGTTTAGTGGATGTCAAATGAACAAATGATATAGATAATGAGTGTTTTAATGATAGTTTTCAGTTTAGGTTGAGTTATAGTTTTACTTGTAATATAGATTTGATACTTAAGTTTATTGTGCAAAAATGCATTTACTTAGAGGTATCACTAGAGAATAAGATAGCATAACAAATACAAACATAGTTAAGATCACATAGTAATTTTTACTAGTCAAGATTTTTCTGATGATCTGCATGATTTACAATCAGAAATCTGATATTTCTGATTATTTAGAACTATCAGTTGTAAAATTTTTTTAATATTAACTTTATTTGAGCCAAAACTATCAAAGATTTTTTTAGTTGATTTTGAAATATTAGTGACTGAACTCTTAGTCACAAAAAATTTTTTATTTAATTGAGGCCAGAACTATTACCAATGATAATTTTTTTTATTTAATTGTGTCAGAATATTAGCTACAAAGATTATTTTTTATTTGATTTTAACTTATTATAGTTAAATCTTTCATATGCAATGATTTTTTTACTTAACTTAAACCAGAACTATTAAACACAATAATTTTTTTATTTAATTTGGGCTAGAACTATCAGTCATGAAGATTTATTTATTAATTTTAATTTATTGAAGCTAAAACTATTATAATGATTTTTTATTTAATTAAGTCTAAAACTATTACTCATAATTATTTTTTTATTTAATGTAACCAGAACTATTTCTAACAATGATTTTTTATTTAATTTTAATTTATTAGATATTATTCATGAATGATTTTTTATTTAATTGGGCCAGAACTATTATGATAATTTTTTTATTTAATTGGTGCCAAAACTATTACTCATGATAATTTTTTTAAGTAGAGACAAAACTATTGTTTATGATAATTTTTATTTAATTGTAGTAAAAACAATTACTTATTATTTAATTTTAATTTATTGGGTCAGAACTATTATTTATAATAATTTTTTTTTTATTTAATTAAGGCTAGAACTATTACTTACAATAATTTTTTATTTATATAGGGCCAAAATTATTTGAATAAAAACTATTACTTATTATGATACTATATTTAATTTTAATCTATTAGACCAAAACTATTACTCATAAAGATTTTTTATTTAATTAAGGCCAGAACTATTACCCATGATAATTTTTTTACTTAAGAGGACCAGAACTATTATTCATAATGATTTTTTATTTAATTGGGGTAAAAACTATTACCTATTATAATTCTTTATTTAATTTTAATTTATTGAGCTAGAACTATTACTCATAATTATTTTTTTTTAATTAGGGTTAGAGTTATTACCTATGACAATTTTCTTATTTAAGTGAGACCAGAACTATTATTTACAATGATTTTTTATTTAATGAAATAAAAATTATTATTCATTATGATTCTTTATTTAATTTTAATTTATTGGGTCAGAACTATTACTTACAATGATTTTTTTATTTAATTAGGGCTGAAATGATTACCTATAATATTTTTTATTTAAGTGGGTCAAAACTATTATTTATAATAATTTTTTATTTAACTGAAGCCAGAACTATTATAATGGCTTTATTTATTTATTGGAGCCAGATCTATTATTCACAATAAATTTTATTTAATTTGGATAAGAAAAATTGTTTATAATAATGTTTTTATTTAATTAAGACTAAAATTATTAGTCTTATTTAATAAAGAATTTAAAATAACTTAGCTGCTTCTATTCCAGTATTTTCATCTTGTTTTGTATTTTTATCTTCATAATTTGATATCTTTTTATCTTTTAATTTTTCATGAATTTCTTTAATTTTAGATGTTATAACTGGTTGTAATTGTATTTTTTGAGTAAGTGCTACAAGAACAAATCTTGATTCTTGTAAATTCATATTCATACTTGGATTTACTTTTAGATTATATTGATTAAACATTCTTTCAAGTTGTTGTTGATGAATGACAATACCCAAATTTAGTATTTTACAAAGTTATATATTAATGGAAAATTATAAAGCATTATATCAGATGAGTTTGCATATTTTATAAATTTTTTTTTAAATTCTAAATCTTCAAATGCTTCTAATAATCTCTAAGTATTAAATAATCCTTCTTTTTTGTCATTATTTAGAATCTCAATATAATTTAATTCTATATTAAATTGAGATTAAGATTCTTGCAATTTAGTATTAGTATATACTTTAAGAAATGCACTTGCAACTAATAATCCATTTAAGCCTTCTAATATGCAAACAAGTAGTAGTAAATGTATTCATAGTGACATCTATTTGCAAAATTCTTTATATTTTTTTTTAAGCCAGATTCTAAAGATGTATAAAGTTCTTGATATTCTTCAATATTTAAATAAAAATTTGCTTCTTTAAGTTTTTCTTCAAATAATTCTGCTATATTTTCTTGTGCATTTTTTATATCTTCAATTTATTTTAATATAGCATTAGGCTTTTATAAGCTCTATTACTAGCAGGAAGTTTTTTTTTTTTTTATTTATATAATATCATAGTAGAAACTTTAAAATACAATAAGAAATTTAATTACAGAAAAAAATTTCTAAAATAAAGATTTCTAAACTACATTTGTGTTGCTAAAAAATAGACACCCAATATGACATTACACCTCCTATTTCCTAATAAGTGCTATAGATAATTGTTTTAAATTACTTTTTAGCTAGGATAAGTTGGAGGAAACCTTCAGGAAGGTTTTTTATTTTTTGCTCTGTATAAATTCTAAAAATTGGATCATATTGTGTTACAAATTCATAAATAGAAAAATAAAATTTAGTACCAAATTTTATAAGACATTTGATTTGAATATTTAATTTTCTATTTTGTAACCATTCATTAAATAATTTCTATTAAGATATATAGATTTTTGGAACATTTTTAATTGATTCAAGTTGTGGAAGAAACCAGTTACAAAATTTAATATATGCATCTTGTCTAGATAAATATTGTGAGCTGTAATTAATTAATATTTTCATCTTGTTATAATAGATTGTAGATATTTGCTAAATGTATAATTTAAAAGTTTTTTATATAGTTTGTAAATATGTTCAAATCTTAAATTCATTGGATTATCTTTATTAGTTGTACTATGTCCATCATGAATTTTAAAAGCTAAGTTAATAAGATTAAATAGATGTTCTTTATAAGATCCTTTAGGGCCATCTATTTTTTCAAATGCATTATTTTCAAAATTCATTAAAGCAATTTGTATTGCATGTAGTGCACATGGAATTCTAAAAGATGTAGATTGGTTTAAAGTATTAAATTTTACAACAACACCATTTTTATTTGATGACATATATGATGTATTGTCTATTAACCAAAATATACATTTTTTAAAATCAATATTATTTTTATTGTAAATTTTTGTAATACTAGTTGCAACAGTATTAGAATTGCAATATATTAAATCATCAACTCCTAATATACTAAACATAGGATAGTTTGTTTCAGCATTCCAAAAAGATGTAGCAACTATTAAAATTTTTCTTTTTTCTCTTTTGCTTTCATCTACTAATAGATCATAACCATAATTAAAAATATTATATGATTTAGGTTTATTTGAATCAAGTTGAAGAGCTGCAACTTCTTTATTTTATCTTGATAGTATATGTATATTAATCCATTTTTCTGGTTCTTCTCTAGTAATAAATTCATAACCTTTTTTAGTACACACTACTGTTGATTTTAAAGAAATTTGTCCTAAATTACTAATTTCTGTAGTCATTTATAAAAATTGTGCTGAATACTCATTTTTAAATTTAAAAAGCTTTTTAGCTGATTTTTTAAAATTTTCTGGTATTATTTTTTTAGCTTTTTAAATCGCAGATCTAATTTTTGAAATATGTTGAGCTTTTGTTTTATCTTTACTTGCTATAGCTATTTTAAGTGATTTTATTTGCTTTTTTAATTCTTCTAATTTTCTTTGAAATTTTTGATTTTCTTTTTCTAATTTTTTTATTTTTTGAGTTAAAGATATTGCATCTGATTCATGTTTATATAAAAAATTGTCTAATAATTTTAAAATCTTTTTTTGACAATACTCTAAAATAAGTTTTCCTTGTATAAATCATATTATTTAACATATAAATTGCTCTTGAAAGCTGATGCTGAGAAATATTATTTACTTTTGCATATAATTTTTGTTACAATTTAAATTCTAATTTAGTTGAATATTGTAATTTTTGAAATAAATTCTCAGATTCTAATCCAGACTCATTAGATTCAGACTCATTAAATTCAGACTCATTAAATTCAGACTCATTAGATTCAGACTTATTAGATTCAGATTTAAACAAATTATAAGAAATATATATTGCAGTATTTAATGTATTAAAATTTTGGTCTAATACTAATTCTAATTTTACTTCAATGTTATTATTATTTGTTACTACAGAGGACTCAAATTAGTTAGGATATTTTAACTTTTTTGCTTGTTAAGCTTTTTTTAAATGAGTATTTCACTTTTTGGATAATATTTTAATAGTAAAAATAAAAAATAAACAATTTTAAAATTTATAATTTAGTTATATAAAAATAAGCCAATAAAATACTTTATTTACATGTTTATATTTTAATAATAACTATTTTAGGTAAATAAATTTTATTATAAGCAAATAATACTTTACAATAAGATTCTTTAAAAAAACTTTATAGCTAATAGTTCTGGCCTTAATAAAATAAAAAATTATTATAAATAAAAATTTCAATCTAAACAAATTAAATACCTTCATAAGCAATAGTTATGACTCTAAATAAATAACATAATAATTATAAGTAATACTGTAGTTTTGGTCCCAATTAAATAAAAAATTATTATAAATAATAATCCTAACTCAATTAAATAAAAGAAATCATCACTAATAATAGCTCTGGCTTCAATTAAATAAAAATTATTATGAGTAATAGCTCTGGTTCCAATTAAGTAAAAAATTATTATAAATAATAGTTCTGAATTCAATAAATAAAAAAATAATTATAAGTAATAATTTTAGTCAAGAAAAATAGTTGTAGATAATAGTTTTTGTTTAAATTAATTAAAACATCATTATGAGTAAATAGCTCTAGCCCAAATAAATTAAAATTAAATAAAAAATTATTGTGAGTAAATAGTTCTAGCTTCAATAATTAAAATTAAATAAAAAAATTATCATAAGTAATAGTTCTGGCCTAATAATTAAAATTAAATAAAAAAAAATGCTATAAGTAATAGTTCTGACTTAATTAAATAAAAAATTACATGTATAAATAATAGTTCTGGTTCTAACTAAATAAAAAAAATTATCATAAATAATAGTTCTGATCTTAATAAATTAAAATTAAACAAAACCTTTATAACTAATAAATCTGGTTCTAATTAAATAATAAATAATAGTTCTGGCCCTCTTTGTAATATTGTTCTAATTCTAATTAAATAAAAAGCTATAAAAAGTAATAGTTCTGGTCTTAATTAAATAATAAAAATAATTGTGAATACCAGCTCTGACTCAAATTAAATAAAAAAACTTTTATAATTAATAGTTCTGACTCTAATTAAATAAAAATATCATTTTGCATAATAGCTCTAACCTCAATTAAAAACTATTATGAATAATAGCTTTGGTTTCAATTAAATAAAAAAAAACATTGTAAATAAATAGTTCTGATCCAACAAATTAAAATTAAATATAGTTCCAGCTCTAATAAATTGTGTATAGTTCTGGCTTAATAAATTAAATATAGTTTTAGCTTCAATAAATTAAAAAACTTTCATGACTAATAATTCTGGTCTAAACACATTATAATTAAGAAATATTCATGACTAGTAGCTTTGGCCCAAATATATTAGCATTAAAGTGTTAAAGTTAAAAAATTTTTGCAGCTAGTTCTAATATATATAGCTATATTTAGAACAATTTTGATTGGCTAATTTGTGATTAATGATCATCAATAGTAAAAACATATCGATATAAAATTTAAACTCTAATAACTTTTTGAACTACTAAAAATATATAAGTAATTACTTTTATTGGATTATTCTTAACATTATCTTTAAAGTAATAGAGCTCTTTTTTTATTTCTATAAAATTAATCATATTTTAGTAATTAGTTTTCACTTTAACTTATATGAAAAATAAAAAAAGAGCTCTATTATTTTAATAAGAATGTTAAGAGAAATCTAATAAATATAATTTTGCTTACATCTCTTAAGTAACTTGGAAGTTATTCCAATTTGAAATTTTATATATTTTTGCTATTAAGAAAAATAATTGACAAAAAAACCTATATTATGAAATTAATATATGATCTTTACTATGTTTGTAGATCATATGCCATCTCACTCCCTAAGGTATCACCTATACTCATTACTTTCTTTCTGAGTAGAAAGCTCTTTATTTATAATAAAAGTTTTATTTACATTTAAGAATTATTTCCTTTACATTATCTATTTATAATATTTCATTTTTAAAACCTCTTTTCTTATTATAATAACTAAAAACTGAATGGCCAGGAGAAGATAAAAATAAATAACAGTATAATTGGATAAGAATGAGTCATTTGAAAGATATATATGAGTTTCATAATAGAAATTGCTAACAAAAAAGGTAATGCTAGAGACAGTATTATTATAGTTATATTTGTCAATATGTTGTATAAGAGATTGAATAGTTTGGCTATATGAAAGAAGTGTTAAGTTATAATAAAGCAGAACTTTGTTAAAGCATATATGAAGATCATAAAAGTTTAAAGATGTTGATAATGATCTTCTAAGTTTGTCTTTTGCAAGATCAATCACTGTATACTTAGCTCTTACAGCTGTGCAAACTATTATAGTTTGTCTTGTACATTAAATTAGACTATTATAATTTTGGCCTTCTATATAAATAGGCTTTATCACTTATCTACTTATATTATTTTTTCTATTAACTATTGTAAATATATTATTTAATAGGATAGTGGCTGCATCTATAGGAATTTAAAGATATTAAAACAATTTATAAAAATTAATAATCTAGAAAATCTGTTTACTTATAAATGTTTAAGGTAATTAATAATAGTAATATGTTAAATTAGCAAATATGTAAATATGAATAATTAGGTTACAACTAGGTATAAAATAATATATTATATATAATATGCAAATGTATATAAAATTTATACAAACATTATATTAAAGAATACTAAACTTTAGTCTTAAAACTTCTAAAATTAGGTCAGCAAATACAGTATTATTACTAATAGAAGATGCAGTTATACTTGCAATGAACCTTTTTATAATGAATGCCTATAATAGTAAAATAAAAAACATTTATTAGAAACTGGCATCAGAAATATTAAATTACTTTTACAAAGAACATAAAAATTTTTATTATAAGAACACAAGAAAACAATATATTTATATTATAGTAAAATTTTCACTATGCTTATAGGCTTAAAATGCCAAACTCAAAATGTTATATAATTAATTTCATTATATCAAGAGTTCAATCTGACAAAGGTAAGCTATATTTGATACTGGTTCTTTTTATTATTTAAATCATGAGTATACTTTTAGAACCTACAACCTTTTATGACTTTATTTTAATTATTAATTTGTGTTAATATAGTTTACAATTAAAAAGAGATTCATTTATAAATCTGGTTACAGTGCAAATTTATTATAATGAGTTATGTATTTTGAAATTTTAAATTTATATATTAATCAATAATTCAACTTATTTGAGCAATTTAATTTATGTTTACTGTTTAATTTAAAATTAATCAAGATAATTATTTATTAATTAAATTTATATTTGAAAATAAATCTATGAAACAATTAATTATAAAAGCAATTAATTGCAACTATTTAAAACTAATTAATCGATCAGTAGTAGAATTACAGAGGGCTAATTAATTACAATTTCTAAAGTTGTTTAAAAAATATAACAATTTGATAAAAGATGTAATAATATACATAAATATAAGTTTATTTGAAGATACTTGACATTAAAGCTTGTAGTTTTTGAATTAAATTGTACAAACTACTAGAACAATAATTTATATTCATTTATAAAGACATGTATATAGTACAGTATTCTAAATATTTTTTTCAATCAGTCTTAATGAATGCTAAAATTCCAAGTAAATATTATATAAACACTTTTTCAGACCTTTAAATAATAACAGACATTAGTGTAATTTATGTTTATTTAATCATAATTAATAGTATTCTTTCAAATTATAGCCAATATCAAAAAGATGCTTTTTTTAGACCTTCAAATTATAGCAGGCATTAATGCAATTTATATTATTTCATCTCATACCTAATAAACAAAAAGATGCCTTTTTTATATCTGCAAATAATAATAATTATTAGCATAAATTATATTCTTTCAATGATGCCTTTTTCAGACCTTTAAACAATTAAAAATATTAGTATTCATTTAGTCACAGTCAACAGTGTTTTTCTAGACTATCTTACATGTAATTTATTATAAATACAGTATGTTAATTTTATATATTTAAATGCAATTTTCACAGTATACTCTACCAATTTACTAAACTACACACCACACTATTTGGAATAATAATCATAAAGCCATGCAATATTTTAAACTAGTTATAAATTATTATATATATTTCTTAATTAAATGATTACTTGATGATTCAAAAAAACAAATTATTATTATTTTTGATAATTAGTAATTACCATTCCATCAATTTAATAAAAAATCCTATAAAAAAAAACAAAAAATATTAAATATCAAGTAAGGGAGCTGATATTTAAAAGCTTAATATAACCCCCTCTGGGAATTGTCAATTAACTACTTCCAATATCCCTAGAGTCAGTCATTTGATATTATTCTGTATTCTCCAGAGTCAGTCATTTAATATATATAAAACTATCAATTGACTACTATAGTATCATAGAGTCAGTCATTTTGACAACACCTTAATTACACCTATTTAATATTTATAACTGCCCCAAGTGGCATAGCATATAACGATTTTAACAGCTACATGATTTCAAAGTCACATAACTGCCTTAAGTGGCATAGCATATAACAGTTGTAATAGATATGTGGTTTCAAAGTCATATAACCATCCCAAGTGATGCAGCATATAACAGTTACTGTGATAAATGCACAAATCAAATAATTTATGTTAATAAATATGTGCAAGATTTTTAAAGTAATAAAATCTTTATGCTAAAGTTATAATAAAATGTTTTCTATACTAAAATTTTGCAAGAAATTCTTTTTGTTAGTGCGCAGTAGATGGTTTTATAAACAAAATTTTGAGTCATCTGCACTTTTTTAAAAATATCATGATTTTACATTATACCTATTCTGGAGATTGATTATTAGAAAAGATAGAAAAGATCAGATTGGTGCATCTTTCACATGCAGTAAAAATACTTCATAACCAAATAATTATTTTTTCATTAGCTGATCAGTTTTCAGATCTTACAAATGGATAAAAATTTCATAAAGAGATAAGTTCTTAGTTACAACCTTATAACCTTTCAAACTTATAGACAGAAACTTATTTGATCAAAGTTGCAAGTCACTCTACAACCAAAAACTTTATTACTAAAGCTTGCAAATTTTTATTTGTAGATTTTGCTCTTATAGTAATGCTGAATCTGTATAAATTTGACTAGTAATAAATCTGCTAATTACAATAAAAGACAATGGTCACAAATTTATAAGTTATTTTTTTTCTAATTACTTTTTTTTTTATTTGAAATTTTATTTATTATATATTATTTTATATATTATTATCATTTCTATTTTCTGCCAGCCTTTTTGATCTGAGATCTGTTTTACTTGGTCTTCCATGTTTCCTTATATGAATTTTTCCTTTGTTAATACTGTTTTGAGCAATTTTTGTTAATTCTGATATCAGACTTTTAGGTCATCCTCGTTTCTTAGGATGTTAGCTTTTTTGATAAGTGGTGATCATTGATATCATTAGAAAATATTTATTACATTCAGAACAACAAAGTTGAGTATAATTGGCTTTGCCAATTGAGAGACAATGAGCATTATATCCTAGTATCTTATCTTAATTGAAAAATTCTAACAAATATGTGAGATTGACATAGTGTCTATCTTTACCTATCATTACTAGAGGAAGAAATCCATCATTCTTTATAAGAGACTAGCAGCCTCTTTACATCACTTTGGTAAACAACACAAAGTATTTTCACATTTTTTTATATCCAAAGAATAGTTATATATTCTTGTATGAGTTTCTAACCACTCCCAAGATATGTTATTTTCATTTTTAGACCTTGGAAACTTGATGGAAAATGGGAAGTTATTTCTTTTAATATACTCTACTATGACTGGCTTTCCAAATAATAGATCTTGTTTCCAGAGGTCACATAATAATTCTTCAGCATGTTTAAAATTTTTTTCATCTAATTCCACATCAATAACTTGGCCCTAAGAATTTAAATGAGAACCATAGATATTAACTAGTAGGATGATGCCTGCAAGCTTTTGAGAAAGTAATAGCATATTTCATTTTACTGGATTGTATTTGGATTGACCTAGAACAATAATATTTAGTTAACTAGTTGTTAATATTGAGTAACACCAGAAAAAAACCAGACTTCATGTTTTTAATTATATTTTGTACCAGACACAATAGACTGGTTGTGTCTGGTACAAAATATGATTGAAAGCCTAAAGTTTGAGTTTTTCTTGACATTACTCATTTGATAATTAATTTTTTTTAGTAACTAAGGCCAGACTAACTTAATTTTCTGTTTAATATAACATAAAATGACTTGTAAGAAGAAGGACAGGGTATTAAAAACAATATTTAATGCCACAATTTTATTAATTAATTTAATGCATATAGATCTTGAAAAATAGAGGTTTATATCAAACAAACAATCAAATTAGTTCAGTTTAAGAAGTTTTTACTATTATTATTTTAGCAGAATACTATTTAGGATATAATTTGAACAAATTAATGAATCTACTAACTAACCTAGAGCATGCATTCAAATGGTTAGATAGTTCAAGTCAAATGCTCAAAACATTGTTGCTTATTTGACAATGTTCTTCATATGATAAGGATTCTCATCTGGGCCTCCATCAACAAGAAGGACCCAGATAGGTTTAATCTTATTTTCTATTTTTAACATACCATCCAGATGGCTGTCTTTTACTAATAAATCTAAATCTTGCATATGAGTTGTAGAACTTGTGCCAACTCCATATTGAGGATGAATGAAAATTGAAAGTTGGCTATTGCGAAGCATAACATTTGTATCATTAGGACTTATTATTAAATAAACTAATGGTATCAGCTTTTGCTGTACACCTATAGGAAAATTATAGTCAGAGACTATCACTAGCTTCCTAATTGTTTGTAAAACTCTAAAGGTTCTTCTGACTGCTGTAATGCCAAGAGGAACCTTGGCCTTATTATTCTGCAAAATTATAACCAAAAAGTTTAAAAATAAAAATGCTTATTGTCTTGCCACCTTTACAGAGATAAGACAATAATGCTCATCTGGATGGTCATTGTTGTCAGTTCTAGATACTGATGAGACCATGATGTTGGCAAGATAATAGTAGATCTTGGCCACTATTGAGTTTGAATGAGAAGGTTGTAGATAATTGTTTATAGTGGATCTGGCAACATATTCACTATATATATTTCTGACATCATCCACAAAATGGTTAATAGTCCTGACTTTTACTACATTTCTTCTTTTATTTTCTGCAACCCTGAATTCAATGCTATCATAAATGCGATTGAGCAAGTCTGAATATATTTGCAAAAAAGAAGGATGGCTAGGCTTATTATATTTAACAACAAATTGTTATTCTTGTAGAAGTTTGTTTCTAATATAAAGCATTGAATATAAAGTATTGAATAGTAAGCATTTGAATTCAAATTAAATAGAGAAAAACAAAGTAAAAATAAAAATTCTAATCATACTCAGGATACTTCACTCTAACCTTTAAATTTCTTCCTAGTATTATTAGAAGTAAAATTTGAAGGTTAGGTGAAATACCCTAGATATGATTAGGGAATAAATAAAAAAATTGAATTAAATAATTAAAAAAATAATAACTTTTTTCTATACTGTTACAATTATATTTTGCCTGTTTTTGTAGAGATTTTAATCTCTTTTCCTTAGTATAAAGGATTTGTTTTAGTTGTTGCATCTAATTCATTAAGTTGTTTTGAGCTTCTGAATTATTTGTTACATTATAGGCTCTTTGACATTCAGTGAGCTTCTTATTTGTGTTATTAATAATTTCTAAGGCTTACTTCTGCACCAATGCATTTATTGGAGGTGAATTTGGAACAAAAATTTTCTCAATTATTCATGTTTGAGTGATAGGACCAGTACTAAGATTTTGGATAATCAAAGATATATTGGAGTCTTGAACAATAAGTATTGTACAAGTAAGTAGATTTTCAATAACATTTTCTATTTGATATGCTGGTTTGCTTTTTATTTTTTTTCATGAGCTATTACATTCTTTGCACAAAAATTCCTTTTTTAAATTTGAATTTTTAGAGATAACTATGCAGTTATATGCAAATGCATTACAGAAATTTTGATACTGGTTTGTTGGTAATTTATATATATATAATTTATTATAGTTTGAGGTGCTTGAGTTAGTTTGCATATTGAAAAAACTGAATTGAAAATAGATAATTAAATAAATGAAAAATTAATATAAAAAGTAATACTATAGATAAATTGATATAAAAAAATAAAAATAAAAATAATAAAAACTATTAAAAGAATGGATATAAAGAAAAAAAAATAAAAAAATTTTAGAACAGATTAATATTTGAAATCAATCAAAATAATAGAATTATTAGAGTCTCAAGATATCAGTCATATTTATAGTAGATAAAGTAATATACTTAACAATTAGTTATATGCTTTTGTTTGAAGTTCATTAAGGTTTTGTGCAAATGTGGAGTAATTTTATCAATTCAAATTTGAGAGGTAGTTATAACAATATACAACTTGTCTTCTGTTCATTTTGTGCAATGTATTTTATTATTCTTTAATATGATTTAATTCTTAAAATTTTAATAGTTACAGATAAGAAATACACTTGATGGTTTAGAGAAATAAAACTTTATGTTTTAAATATTTTAATTTTTTGATGTGTTCAAAGAAATATTTATCTTAAAAATATACATTTTTTATTTAATAGTTTAACAGAGAAAAGGTATCAGTTTACATTTGCTGCACTTAATTTTCTTAATAACTCAGTGCACAGATGTTGCAATTTTATATTAGAGAAAATTTATTCTAAGTACTATTTTTATTAAACTTCATTGTTTTTATACAATTTAATTCTAAACATTTTCTTAAATTTCTTAAATAGTTTAATAAATAAAGAGTACTACCAACTTTATATTTAATATGCCTGTAATAATTAAACAAGATTATTTTTTATATTTTTCCTTAATTATCATAAAAGTAATTTAACAGACAGGATACAGAAGTAACAATGTAACATGCATCTTTCTTCATTTGTTCTGTTCTAGCTTCTATAACAGGGATAACAGTGTTAACATATATCATTATTATGAACAACATATTGAAAAAGGTGAACTAATTCTGGCTTTAAGCTTGTTGAAGCATTATTACACAAATACAAACTAAAAATTACTATATATTGTCTTATTAATATCCAAACTTTTAGGGCTGAGAATTAGGCTATTCAAAGTTAATTTTTCAGTTAAACATTACCTCCAACTGAAGTCTTCCTCCAAAAAATAAACAACCAATCAAATGCTAAATAACTTTCACCAATCACTTGATTTATATTGACCAATAAAATTAGTCCATTTTTATATGTTCATTTCATTTTACTCCTTCTTCCCCTCTTTCAAGAGTTTTGAAAGTGTTGTTAACTAAAGAATTAATTTCGAACAGTCTTAGCTACTGAACCACTACCTGAATCTGCCAAATTCTTTTGATCTTTTTTTTTTTTACAACTAGACATTGGTTTATTATTTTAACAACAGATTATATAAACTTTAGACCATATACTACAAGATAGATGAACATCTGAAATTCTATATTATATATTTGTAAGTGATATAAATTTACAATGCTTAAGAAATATTACTTGGCTTTATAGTTTTACATAACACAATACAGTCAACTCTCTTTATAATCACATTCTTGGTTTTAAGAATTTGGTGCTTATAAAAAGTTGTGTCTATATAGAGATTAAATTTTATAGGTATTATATAAAGTTGGTTTTAAGAATTTATGTAATTATAAGCAAATGTGACTATAAAGGTGACTATAGAAAGGTTTGATGTATAATAATTTTATCATTATATTATTTTAGTGATAATAAATTTTTACTAATTGATATATTATCTATACTTTCTTAAGTGCAAAAGTAATTATTCAAAATAAGTATTTAGTTATATTTTGTGTCTCTTATCAATTAAAAATTGGAACTAACTAAAATTTTATAATCGCCTAGTCTTTTAACCTTAATTAGCTAGCATTAAAATAATTTTGATCTATGAACAACATGGCTTTGCCTGGAACTATAAACCAATTTTAAGTGGTTAAACAGTTTCAACTCTTATTATTAGTTTCATTTTGGTTGATTTATAAAAGTAAGTATAAAGATCTTTAATTAACATATTCATCATTATACTATATAATTTAGATTTGTCTAAGTTTGTATTAATAAGTCTTATTAATCAAAAAAAAAGTTAAATTCATATGAACCTAATTTTTTACTTTACATTATTTTTTTTTATTGCTATCTTCATGATCTTGAATACTGCTACGAAAAAGATAACTGTACTTCTGGTAGTTCTGATGATAGATATTTACAGAAATTGTGAAACTACATATAAAATCAAAACTTGCTGTACAGTGAGAACTAAAAAAGACCCTCTTTTATGATACTCCTTATAATTTTCAGAGACCTAGAATTTAAAGTATCCTAGGTACTAAAGACAGATTAATTGCACTTGGGAATATAAAATATTACTGCAGAACTCATATAGTGCAACTTATACCCCTCTTTACACTGACTATAGTATTTTTCTGATTATAATACTCATATATACAGCTTAAATAGTAAAGTATACTGAGTATTTTAGTCCATACTGTATGCTACTAGCAAATATTGCCAACTCAGATAAATTAGCACCTTTTCTAGCATTAACCTAAAAGATCTGTTGATAAAATATAAAGTACTAATTTCACTAACATTTTCGTTATAAAACAAAGATGAGAAGTTTTAGGTATATTGGATCTAAGATCAGTTTTATATCAAAATTTGATATACATTATATAGGCTTAATTTACAATATCAATTCTGCAGATTCAACTATAGCTTTTGAGCAAGATTAGTTCTTTTTAACTATGATGTTAAACATGACTAAGGATTAGACAATGACAGTCACTTTGGAAAAGGCTTTTTCACTAAATCTATAACTATAATATACAGTTTAAAATGTTTTTCACAATGATTTCTGGTTTCTTATTTTGCACAATATTCTTATAACAATTACTTATATACTAAATTAAAGAGCTATTTATGTAATTAATTTATGTTATTTTAATCTATATTTAATAATAGTTAGAAGTAACAATCATTTTGTACTAAACCATAACTGAGTTTTTGAAGTAAAAGGCCATTTTGTACAACAAAATCACAAAAGCTGTGATGGTAGAAGAAACTATCACCAAAGCTATGTTTATGATAAAATTCCTGTTTAACAGTCAGATTTTGATGTTGAATTGTTGTTAAATGTTAAGTTCAACAAAGATGACCTTATCAGGGATGTTGTTAAAAAAATTACTCCTATCTCTCACTATTACAGTTACACTGAACACACCAAAGAAAAAGCTACCAGTCAAATTACAAAGTAATTGTGTTCTATTAACTTTATCTCAATTACCAAAGATAACATCTGTTCAAGTTGTAGTATTGACACCACCGCCATTAGAAAAGCAGCAACCAACTATGGTCTTAAAGAAAATTGTACAAAGGGCATTAAACTTGGTTCAGAATTAGAGAATGTTTTGATACCTCTTACTGAGATTTATTATAAGTTCAGATATTTCTTTGATAATATTTCTTGTAAAACAAAGGAATGATTGGAACAAGAGCTTGATGGCCAGTTAGTTTTTTTTTAAAAAAAAAAATTTGAATCATGCCTATGTATTAATAATTATGAACATTTATTAATATTAATAGAAAACTGTCTGGGGCTAAACAAAGACAGAAGCAATTTAAAGAAATATATTTGAATATCAAAACTTTTAGACAAGTCCTGATTGATAATGAAAGAAATTGTAATTATTATCACAATTGTGATTATAATAGATAATCTAACAACTATCAGAAGAATAACTTTTGAGTATGTTTTATATTTGTTTATATGAAGATTTCAACTTTGTCATTATTACTAACTCTATGTTTTCTTAGAAACAGGTTTAGCAACAATTATAAAGCATATTTATTTTTGGCAATTTAAATATTTATTCGATAGTTTATATTTATAGTCACAGATTTCTTATATTCTTTTTTTTAA